TCTCCGCTCAGCAAGGCCTTCCTCAGGGTTCGCCTATCTCTCCCTCTCTATACAATCTTTTCTGCCACGATCTTTACAACGACAACCCAGACGCCTTTAACCTCACTGCATACGCACTACTTTACGCCGACGACACAGCATTGGTCTCGCACAGTAGGGATATCACTTCCTCGGTCCGTAAGCTGCAGACGCTCATAAACGAAACGGAAAATTGGTACCGAAAATGGCGCATCCTACTCAATCCCACAAAAACACAATTTTTTGTCCCATTCCTCTCACCCCGCGCTCCCTCTCCCACAATTACAATCCAATCAACGGCAATCTCCGTCTCACCAACCTGCAAGTATCTTGGCATAATACTTGACAGAACGCTTAAGTTTTCCACTCATGCAACCAAGGTGAAGATGAAAGTAAAGACACGCGCCAAACACTTTAAATCTCTCTCGTTCAGCGGTCGCGGAATCTCTACCTCATGTGCCTCGCACATCTACAAGACCATATGCAGGCCCATCATAGAATATGGATCAATACTGCTAAGCAACGCACCAAGAAGAACGAAGTACCACCTGGAAGTAGCGGAAAGATCTGCACTGAGATCCATCACCCGAATTAGGAACCCCCGTAATCCCCTCTTTAACCCTAGCAATGATCTGCTATACCAACTTACCGATATACCCCCTATCCATACCCGTCTTCAATCTTTGTCCGATAAATCCATTCTAAATTTTCCTACCAACGCCTTGCAACACACGCTTATATCGCCTCCATTACTCCACCCTCGCAACAACCCACCTCTTCTCTTCCAAAAACTCCTGGCCGTCAGAGAAGACTGAAGCAAGCCGCCGACTACAAAAATCACGGGCAGAAAGACCTTGGTCGGTAGCCCTATTCTCACCCCTTAACTTTTTTATTTTTGTTTTATACACATATAGATATTTTTATTGTTATTCTTATTTTTTTTATGTAGTGGGTACAGAATAAAATTTGTTTTTCTTCTTCTTGTCGATAATTTCAAAAATTTATTTCTCAAAAACTAAAGGTGATTTTTCAAAACGGCTTTTTGCATTAAAAAGAGGATACTTTAATTAATAATTGGTGATATTTCCACAAATATCCTTCAACAATTAATTTTATAGCGAATTTTAAAAGTTATCGATGAAAATTGAAACATCGAAAATTTTATCAAAACTTCAAATATTATTTTTTCAAAAACTAAAAGTTATTTTTCAAAAATTGTAAAAATTGTTGATCATTCAATTCAAAAGCGATTTTCCAAAACGGCTTCTTGCATTAAATAGAGGATATTTTAATTAATAATTGGTGATATTTCCACAAGGATCTTTCAAGAAATAATAAAAAACAATTGAAACAGTTTCCACCAACATCTTTAATTCAAGACGTCCCTTTAAAACCCTTTTTTCCTTTTTCATTCTTCCACTCGAACGATTTTTATGGCTTCTTAACAAAATTTATTTCACCCAACATAAACAAGTCACCCTTTTCTTTCTTAACTAATTACAACTCAATTGAATTAATTTGTTTATTAGGGTATGGAAATATCGTGCCGAAAACCGATTGGGGAAAAATCACGACGATCGTTTACGCGATAATAGGGATGCCCTTGTTTTTATTGTACCTTTCGAACATCGGCGATATAATGGCCCGATCCTTTAAATGGCTCTACGCGACTTGCTGTTTATGCAAAGGATGCCCGAGCGTCTCGCAACGGCGCTTAGAACGCGAAAAAAGACGGAGGGAAGTACTCGAAATGGCCACGTTTCAACAGATCGATAGTGAAATGTCCGAATCGTCCAGTTGGAAGGTAATTAAAATTATGTTGATGAAATTTTTATAAAATTATTAAGTTTTTTGAAAAGATGGGGAAATTTTAACCTAATTTGATGTATCACACTCTATATGAATCCTAAAATTTATTTTTAGAAACGTAGATGGCGCTAATTAATAATTTTGGATTCGCCATCTTGATTTTTTTTATAATTTAAAAAAAAATCTTGTATCTCTAAATTGTAAAGTTCTAAAAGAAAATGCTAAATACGACGACTTTGAATTTATTTTAAAGGATTTTACATGAAGATTGAAAATTTTTCAAAACGAGTTCAAGAACCTTGATGGTTTTTTCATACTGTTCAGAGGGAAATTAAGACCTCATAGCGCCACCTAGCAAAAATATTGAAAAATGTTTCAAATAAAAATTGTTGCTTATTCAATTTTAATTGTATATTATTTGAAACTTTCTTTTATACATCCAATAATTATTAAGATAACCTCAAAATAATGATTTTTTAAAGTTAGTAATGGAGAGTATGTAGATTTTGTTAAATGGAACACCCTGTATATTTCATCATATTATGAATAGCATTAAATTTGTTTATACAACCGTATATGTTACTATTTCACAGCGTTCATAGTTCCTCAGATATTCAATTGTTTTTCCAAAATATGCCCATAACAGAATCTTTTTAAGAACGATGTAAAAACGACATTTTTCCAATTTTGCCTTGAAACTATGTCAGATAATAGTCAAAGCCAGTAGGTAAATGATAACATCCAAAGATATTACATACGCTATACAGCGTGTCCATAAAGCTTAGTTACTTTTGATATTTTTCAAATGGCTTTTTCTTAAGTTTTTTTAAATGGAACACCTGTATATTGTGTGCTGGTTAAATTGCCCATTAAGTTACCTTTAATTAATGATAAGTATGTCATATATCTAACTTTAGTACTTTTCCTGATATTTAGAATTTAAAGAATAATGTGTAATAAAATATGTGTTATTGTAAAAATACCTTAATGTTTTTTTTTCGTACTGTTCAGAGGGAAATTAACTTTTTATACGAGTATAGAGCTCTATCTAGCAGAAATATTAAAAAATGTTTCAAATGAAAATTGTTGTTAATTCAATTTTAATCAAATATTATTTGAAACTTTTTTTAATATAATCAATTATTATTGAGATAACCTCAAAAAATATTATTTTTTATATCAGCGCCATCTACTGGATGTGTTGTAATTTCGATTAAAACTATTTTAAATGATACATTTGACAAATGAAAATAATAAGTGTTTATATGCTTTAGAATACCTTAATGTTTTTTCCGTACTATTCAGAGGGAAATTAAGTTCTTATACGAGTACACAACGCCATCTAGCAAAAATATTGAAGATGTTTCAAGTAAAAATTGTTGCTAATTCGATTCTAAACAAACATTATTTGAAACTTTTTTTGATACAATCAATTATTATTGAGATAACCACAAAAATATTATTTATTATACAGGGTGTCTCAGCGAGACCGGTCATTAGACGTTTCAGGGGTTCTGGCAAAAACAAAAATTTAAGAATTCAGACTTAAACATTATCAATTACGATCTCTTCGGCTAAAATATTTTCACATTTCTAGCACTAGGTTAATATCGATATGATATGTGAGCATTTTTCAAAAAACCCTAATTATTTCTCAAACTATTAATGTTAGGCATAGGACATATGGAGTATAAAAGATGTAAAATGAGACGCCGAAGACGACTAAGTAATAAAATATGGGGGGTGCCATTTAAAAAAATGAAGTTATGGTGCTTCCAAATTTCGAAAAGTTAACGTATCATAGTAAAGTGACCAAACGATCTAGACAGCCGTTCNATTTCAAAAATTTATTTCTCAAAAACTAAAAGTGATTTTTCAAAACGGCTTTTTGCATTAAAAAGAGGATACTTTAATTAACAATTAGTGATATTTCCACAAGGATCCTTCAAGAAATTAATTTTATATCGAATTTTGAATGTTATCGATGAAAATTGCAATTATCAAAACTTCAAATAATGTTTTCTCAAAAACTAAAAGCTATTTTGCAAAATGGGTTAGTTCATTTGAAAAAAGACACCTTTATTAATACTTTGGGAAATTTTCATACTCATATTCCAAGAAATCGATTTTATACAAATTATTAAAATTTAATTGGCGAAAATTGAAAAATTCGAAAAAATTTCAAAAATTTATATCTCAAGAACTAAAAGTGATTTTTCAAAACGGCTTATTACATTAAAAAGAGGATACTTTAATTAATAATTTGTGATATTTCCACAAAAATCCTTCAAGAAATTAATTTTATATCGAATTTTGAAAGTTATCGATAAAAATTGCAATTATCAAAACTTCAAATAATGTTTTCTCAAAAACTAAAAGGTATTTTGCAAAATGGGTTGGTTCATTTGAAAAAAGACACTTTTATTAATACTTTGGGAAATTTTCATACTCATATTCCAAGAAATCGATTTTATAAAAAAATTATTAAAATTTAATCGGCGGAAATTGCAAAATTTTAAAAAAATTGTCGATTATTTCAATAATTTATTTCTCAAAAACTAAAAGTGATTTTTCAAAACGATTTTTTGCATTAAAAAGAGGATACTTTAATTAATAATTAGTGATATTTCCACAAATATCCTTCAAGAAATGAATTTTATAGCGAATTTTAAAAATTATCGAACATCGAACGTTTTATCAAAACTTCAAATATTATTTTCTCAAAAACTAAAAAGTATTTTTCAAAATGGGTTGGTTCATTGAAAAGAGGAAACTTTTATTAACACTTTGGGAAATTTTCAAACTCATATTCCAAATAATCGATTTTATATGAATTTTTAAACTTAATCGGTGGAAATAGCAAAATTAGAAAAAAAATTGTCGATCATTCAAAAATTTATTTCTCAAAAACTAAAGGCGATTTTTCAAAACGGCTTGTTGCATTAAAAAGAAGATATTTTAATTAATAATTGGTGATATTTCCACAAATATTCTTCAAGAAATGAATTTTATAGCGAATTTTGAAAATTATCGATGAAAATTGAAACATCGAAAATTTTATCAAAACTTCAAATATTATTTTCTCAAAAACTAAAAAGTATTTTTCAAAATGGGTTCGTTCATTGGAAAGAGGACACTTTTATTAACACTTTGGAAAATTTTCAAACTCATATTCCACAAAATCGATTTTATACGAATTATTAAAATTTAATCGGCGAAAATTGCAAAATCCGAAAATATTGTCGATCATTTCAAAATTTATTTCTCAAAAACTAAAAGTAATTTTTCAAAACGGCTTGTTGCATTAAAAAGAGGATACTTTAATCAATAATTGGTGATATTTCTACAAGGATCCTTTAAGAAATAAATTTTATAGCGAATTTTGAAAGTTATCGATGAAAATTGCAGCATCGAAAATTTAATCAAAACTTGAAATATTGTTTTCTCAAAAACTAAAAGGTATTTAATCGGTGAAAATTCCAAAATTCGAAGATTGTTGATCATTTCAAAAATTTTTTTCTCAAAAACTAAAAGTGATTTTTCAAAACGGTTTGTTGCATTAAATAGAGGATATTTTAATTAATAATTGGTGATATTTCCACAAGGATCCTTCAAGGAATTAATTTTATTTCGAATTTTCAAAGTTATCGATGAAAATTGCAACATCGAAAATTTTATCAAAACTTCAAATATTATTTTCTCAAAAACTAAAACATATTTTTCAAATTGGGTTGGTTCATTGGAAAGAAGACACTTTTATTAACACTTTGGGAAATTTTCATACTCATATTCGAAAAAATCGATTTTATACGAATTTTTAAAACTTAATCGGCGAAAATTGCAAAATTCGAAAAAATTGTCGATTATTTCAAAAATTTTTTTCTCAAAAACTAAAAGTGATTTTTCAAAACGGCTTNTCTGAATCCTAAATTGATATCTCAAAAATCGAGTGTTTTATGATTTTTTGAACAAATGTCCGCTGGAGCAGATTTTTCTAGAAAAATTCGAATAACTCGAGAACGGCCAAATCAAATTGCAAAAAGTAAAGTTATTTATAAACCTTGAAAACAGACAAATCCAAATATGTACAAATATACAGGGTGTTCCATTTAAAAAAGTAAAGTAGGTGGCGACTTCCGGTATAACCGGAAATGCTAGAAATCTGAAAATATTTTAGACGAAGAGAACGTAATTGATAATAGTTAAGTCTGAATCCTCAAATTTTGTTTTTGGCTAGAACCCCAGAAACGTCTAATGACCGGTCTCGCTGAGACACCCTGTATTAGCGCCATCTACTAGATGTGTTAAAATTTCGATTAAAACTATTTTAAGTGATATATTGGACAAATGAAAATAATAATAAGTGTTTATACGCTTTAGAATACTTTAATGATTTTTTCATACTGTTCAGAGGGAAATTAACTTTTTATACGAGTATAGAGCTCCATCTAGCAGAAATATTGAAAAATTTTTCAAGTAAAAATTATTGCTAATTCAATTTTAAACAAATATTATTTGAAACTTTTTTTGATACAATCAATTATTATTGATATATAACCTCAAAAATATTATTTTTTATATTAGCGCCATCTACTGGAGATATTAAGCGTTTGATTAGATCAATTTTAAGTCATATCTTGAATAAATAAAAATAATAATAATCGTTTATTCGCCTTAAAATACTTTAATGTGCTTTTCGTACTGTTCAGAGGGAAATTAATTTCTTATACGAGTATAGAGCTCCACCTAGCAGAAATATTGAAAACATTTTTAATCAAAAATTGTTGCTAACACCATTTTAATCGTATATTATTTGAAACTTTTTTTGATACATCCAATAATTATTAAGATAATCTCAAAATAATGATTTTTTTAAGACTAGCGCCATCTACTTGAGATATTCAAAGTTCGATCAGGACTATTTCAAATCATCTAGTTATACAGGGTGTTTCAGGTTTTTGTAGCAGGACTTTAACAGTCGATAGATTTTTTAAAATTAACACAAAAACTTCATATAAACATAAGTCGACAAACGCTTTGTTTTGGAGATACAGGGTGTTCAAATTAAATTTTTAAATTGATTTTTATTTAATATTACACGTATTTCAACCGATTCTTTTCAAATTTGATATACGAAGGTTTTTTGGCATGGGAAAGACGATTATGGAGTCCTAAAACTAAAACATTAGTTAATTTACCTACTTTTTTTCCATGGCACACATTATTTTAACTATCCTCTAAAAACATTGGTCTGCATCGAATAATAAAAAGCGGATTATCTTGAAAACGATAAACTTTAGCGCATTTTGATAAATAAGAGTACCCTTTTTGCTTAAAAAGTACAGAGAATAAGAATTTTTATTCAAAAAGCCAAAAAAGTACACTGTCAGAAAAGTTATTGCTATTTTAATCCGTAAAGAATAAGTTACAGAGCGCCCTCTACCTGCTATAGTAACACGGACTCCGTATATTAAATTTGAAAAGAATCGGTTGAAATACACGTCTAATATTAAATAAAAATCAATTTAAAAATTTAATTTGAACACCCTGTATCTCCAAAACAAAGCGTTTGTCGACCTATGTTTATATGAAGTTTTTGTGTTAATTTTAAAAGATCTATCGACTATTAAAGTCGTGCTACAAAAACCTGAAATACCCTGTATATTATTATTCCGTACTCAATACAAGGTAATTCAAATTCGACCCCCACCATTGGAATCTCAGAAACCATAAGAGATATAAAAATGGTTAAATGGGGGCAAAGTTGCGTATCTTAGCGCTCATCATTTTTCAAATAAGTTTTTGAATCTAGCCGTTTTAGTTTTTAAGATATGGCCGAAAAACAAACAAATGACTTTTTCGCTTTTTACCTATAACTTCTTAATTTTTCGTTTTTTCATAAATCTGGAAAAACATTCTTAAGGCAACTTTTTATGAAAAATGTCATGAAACAACTAGAAATTTTCTCTGACGTTTCGTTTTCGTAAAACGAAAAAAAATGATGATAATTTCACGAAAATGAAACGTCGGAGAAAATTTTTCATTATGTCATGACCAGGGCACGGAACTTTTGTAACAAAACGACACGATTTCCCCCCTCCACTTGTTCTCAGAAAATCTTGATTAAAAGACCAGCATACTGTTCAGTGGGAAATTAAAATTTCAAGTTAGAAAAAAATTATGTTAACAAAAATTGTTCCTGAAACAATTCTAAACAAACTTTGTCAACATTTTTTTTTGATTTAATCAATAATTAAGGAGATAACCTCAAAATAATAATTTTTCCGTTTTTATACATAATTATACTTAGATGCTTTATTAATAGAGATGTGAAAATTTTTTATTAAGATAATTGATTCAAAATCGAAATTGAAACAAATTTTATTTAAAACATCTTTTTATAAAAACAATAATTGGTGAGATAATTAATTTTGATGGCATACTATTCAGAGGGAAATTAAAATTTCAAATTAGCAAAAAATTGTTTTAACAAACACTGTTCCTGAAGTAATTCTAAACAAATTTTGTTAACAAAATTTTTTGATTAAATCAACAATAAGGATACAACCTCAAAAATATTAATTTTTGTAGCATACTGTTCAGTGGGAAATTAAAATTTCAAGTTAGAAAAAAATTGTGTTAACAAAAATTGTTCCTGAAACAATTCTAAACAAACTTTGTCAACATTTTTTTTTGATTTAATCAATAATTAAGGAGATAACCTCAAAATAATAATTTTTCCGTTTTTATAAATAATTATACTTAGATGTTTTGTTAATAGAGATGTCAAAATTTTTTATTAAGATAATTGATTCAAAATCGAAATTGAAACAAATTTTATTTAAAACATTTTTTGATAAAAACAATAATTAAATTTGATAGCATACTATTCAGAGGGAAATTAAAATTTCAAGTTAGCAAAAAATTGTATTAACAAACTCTGTTCCTGAAGTAATTCTAAACAAATATTGTTAATAAAAATTTTTGATTTGAACAGTAATTAAGAACATAATCTCAAAAAAAAAATTATATATACCGGGTGTCCCTCAAAAGTGGCTCACCCCCATATTTTTTTTATTATTAGTGATATAAGAAAATCATTTGGAATGCATAGTTAGGTCGCTAAAACGGATTATTACGACATGAAATCGTTCTTTTTGTACTTCCGGTTACACCGGATGTGAGTACTAATTTCGCTATTTTTTTAAATCTATATATTTTTTTTCTTCAGTTGGGTAGACAGTATAATTTCACATAACTTTTACTTGAAAAAATTTTCACGATCGCTTATAATTTAAAAAAAAAAAAAATTATTTTCGTTATTTTATAACGTTTTAGTACCTTCGGACAATGTATTACAACTTTTGACACTTGTTTTGTGGAAATCGTTTTGTTACAAAAGTTCCGTGCCCTAGTCATGACATTTTTCATGAAAAGTTGCCTTAGGAATGTTTTTCAGATTCACGAAAAAACGAAAAATAAAGAAGTTATAGGCAAATTTTAAAAATTGAAACGGCTAGATCCAAAAACTTAGTTGAACAATGATCTAACCTCATTTAACGATATCTGTATCTCTTCTGGTTTCTGAGATCCCAATGGTGGGGGTCGAATTTGAATTACCCTGTATAGTGATTTAAGTGCTAAATAAATTTTTGAAAGTTTTCAAAATTATGTTTGATGAAATGTTGGGGGGTCCACTTTATGCTCTTTATAGCGAGGAATGTTCATTGTTACTGAGAATTTAGTATTCAAAAGGAAAATGTGGGGTGGACGTAGAAGTTGCTTGGAACAATCGCGATACTAAAACAGAACTCCACGCGGAATTTCCGTGACGTTTAAATGATAAATTACGGTTTATGAGCACGTCGTAACATGTATCCATCTTTTCATGGGGAGGTTCCGTTTGATCGTTAACCAACGATGACAAATTGATCGTCCGTCGGCGCATTTTGTTTGCCTATATCAATTTACAACTCGCTCGTCGAAATAAAGAATTATTTATATATTAATACAAAAAATTTAATGGGGGGGGAAAAGATTTCGAATAAAATTAATTAACCAAATTATTTTCTTTTTTCAATTTTAACAAGAAAACGTGACTTTATTATGATTGATCTATTTTGTACCAAAAAAAAAAATTGGAGGGAATTTTTTGAAACTCGATAGCTTGATAAATGACGTCACCAGCGTTGAAAAATTTAATACCGAACAAAAACTCGGGTTCGATCGTCATTGTTCTCGTGTATTGTCGCGATTTTTCACCGAATACAATGAAACAATTTGTCGCGGAATTTTATTATTTCAAAAATTACAACTCACCGATTTAATCTTTGTATTCCTCAGGATAAAGATGTCCACTTAGACGGATACACTCCCGAAGATGGCGAAGATTACGCCCCGAGTATCGCAACTTCGGATAATCTAACTGAAGAGTCCTTCGATACGCAAACTGTAACGGTTCCAGTTTTAATTTGTTTGGCGATTATGGTTGGGTAAATATTAATCAATTCTTTTCTCTCCCCATTAAAATTAATTTTGAAATTTCTTCATCAGCTACATTTTATCGGGTGCTTGGCTCTTCTCCTCATACGAACACGATTGGGGGATGTTAAACGCTTGTTATTTCTGTTTCATCTCATTAAGCACGATTGGTTTTGGTGATTTCGTGCCTGGAGATGAAATTTACGCCACCGATGAAGACGACGACCAGGAAATTTTCGGCTTCGAGTTGAGTTTTATTTTGTGCTCGATGTACCTGATGTTGGGGATGGCTCTAATCGCAATGTGTTTTAACCTAATGCAAGAAGAAGTAATACATAAGTTTAGAAGTTGCGTGGCCACGATTAAATACGTTTTAAGATGCGGAAGATAAAAATTAAATTAATAAAAAAATTACTAAATAAGAAGATGGGTAAAGATCGAAATCGGGGATTAAGAAAAACAGACTTTTCGGATGAGAGAGAAGTAAGTTTTCGATGTTGAGATTTTTCGGTTTTGATTTTTATGTTTTATTTCAGGATTGAATAATGTAAATGTGAATGGAAAATAAATGATTAATATAAAATAGAATCTTTAAAATGTAGTTTTAATCAAAAACGTGTCGAGGTGAATTTTTAAAAATGTCAATTTCGTATCGGCTTCATTGCGAAATGCGCACTCCGACGTGAACTGCGCTCCTATATTATTAAAATCTCTATGAATATTTGAAAAGTTCGCGTTTGCAAACCGGATATCGACGAATATTTCGTGTTGATTTTGTGACTAAAAACACAACGGAAAAAATTTTATTAATTTTTACAATAAACACGAACTTAACTAGACAAAAACATTTTGAAAATTAATTCTGTACTATTCAGGGTGAAATTAAATTACTTAAATGAGTACGCAGCGCCAACTAGTAAAAAAATTTCAAACAAAAATTGTTAATAAATCAATTCTAATCAAGTTTTATTTGAAACATTTTTTTATACAGGGTGATTCTCAACCTATACGTATAAACTTGGAGATAAACTTCACAGGCATTTAATTGCAGCTCAGGAAGTAATACTGGTTTAGATCGCGTTTAGAAAATATTGGAAACAACTTGATTTGAAAGTAAATTATTTATCATGAGGAATAAATCCGCAAATTTATGCGTATAGGTTGAGAATCACCTGTATAATCAATTATTATTGAGATAACCTCAAAAATATTAATTTTTTATATCAGCGCCATCTACTGAATGTTTTAAAAGTTCGATTATAACTATTTTAAGTCATATTAGATAAATAACAAAAATAATGAATGTTTATAGGCCTTAATATAGTTCTTTCCATACTGTTCAGAGGGAAATTAAGTACTTATACGAGTACACAGCGCCATCTAGCAAAAATATTGAAAAATGTTTCAAATAAAAATTGTTACTAATTCAATTATAATCAAATATTACTTGAAACATATTTTGATACAATCACTTATTATTGAGATAACCTCAAAAATACTAATTTTTATATCAGCGCCATCTACCGGAGGTATCAAAACTTCCATTAGAACTATTTTATGTTATGTATTGGATAAATAAAAATAATACTAAGCGTTTAAACACATTAAACCACCTTGATGGCTTTTTCATACTGTTCAGTGGGAAATTAAGTTCTTATACGAGTACACAGCGCCACCTAGCAACAATATTGAAAAATCTTTCAAACAAAAATTGTTGCTAATTCAATTCTAAACAAATATTATTTGAAACATTTTTTAATACAATCAGTTATTTTTGAGATAACCTCAAAAATGTTATTTTTTATATCAGCGCCATCTACTGGAGGTATTAAATGTTTGATTACAACTATTTTAACTCATGTGTTGAATAAATGAAAGTAATAGTAAGTTTAAATGCATTAAAACACCTTGATGTTTTTTTCGTACTGTTCAGAGGGAAATTAAGTTCTTATACGAGTACACAGCGCCACCTAGCAACAATATTGAAAAATCTTTCAAACAAAAATTGTTGCTAATTCAATTCTAAACAAATATTATTTGAAACATTTTTTAATACAATCAGTTATTTTTGAGATAACCTCAAAAATGTTATTTTTTATATCAGCGCCATCTACTGGAGGTATTAAATGTTTGATTACAACTATTTTAACTTATGTGTTGAATAAATGAAAGTAATAGTAAGTTTAAATGCATTAAAACACCTTGATGTTTTTTTCGTACTGTTCAGAGGGAAATTAAGTTCTTATACGAGTACACAGCGCCACCTAGCAAAAATATTGAAAAATGTTTCAAATAAAAATTGTTACTAATTCAATTATAATCAAATATTATTTGAAACATATTTTGATACAATCACTTATTATTGAGATAACCTCAAAAATACTAATTTTTATATCAGCGCCATCTACCGGAGGTATCAAAACTTCCATTAGAACTATTTTATGTTATGTATTGGATAAATAAAAATAATACTAAGCGTTTAAACACATTAAACCACCTTGATGGCTTTTTCATACTCTTCAGTGGGAAATTAAGTTCTTATACGAGTACACAGCGCCACCTAGCAACAATATTGAAAAATCTTTCAAACAAAAATTGTTGCTAATTCAATTCTAATCAAATATTATTTGAAACATTTTTTGATACAATCAGTCAATTGAGATAACTTCAAAAATATAATTTTTTTATACAGGGTGTTCCGGTGAAAAATTATTATAAATATTTTCAAATGGCCAAGATATGGTTTTGGAAATTACATTCTTCTATTCAATTAAAATAAATTAACACCGGATTTAACTAAATCTGTACTTAGAAATTTATGCAAATAATTATTATTAGCTCAGTTCGTTTTTCAATTGTCATCGCCAACTCAGATCTTGCGAAATATGTTTCCTTTTTTTTATATGTTACGATTGAAACCAAAGCTTAATATTTTCGCGTATAACTCAAAATTTTTCCTCTAGTATATGAGGTCAATTTTATGCCTTGAGTCACCGAAACACCGTGTATAAGCGCCATCTACTGGAGGTATTAAATGTTTAATTACAACAATTTTAACTCTTGTGTTGAATAAATAAAAATAATAGTAAGTGTTTATATGTTTTTCTGTACTGTTCAAAGGGAAATTAACTTCTTATACGAGTACACAGCGCCACCTAGCAAAAATATTAAAAAAAATTTCAAATAAAAAATGTTGTTCATTCAATTCTAATCAAATATTATTTGAAACATTTTTTGATACAATCACTTATTATTGAGATAACCTCAAAAATATAACTTCTTATACAGGGTGGTTCAGATTTTAATCGGAAAACTTTACTAGGACATAGTATTTGCCAAAATAACACATGTTTTTTATATAAACATAGAGTCGCAACGCTTTTGTTTTCGAGCTATGAGCTGTCAAAGTTGAGCCAATGGACTATTAACATAAAAAAATATGGGTTGTAAAGCTTATTTATTATTGGCACTTTTTTGTCTCTTTAGTTTTTTCCTTAAAGATAATAGTTTTAGCGTAAAAAAATAAAATATACTACCCTGTATTGTAAAATGCTGCTATTATTAAAAAATTTCCAGCCAACGTTCATTCAAAAAAGCTCTAAATTGGCACGATTACTCTTCAGATGCTTTCAAATAGATTGTCATATATTGTATCAGAGTATCTTATACAGGGGATGGTCAAAAATTGAATTACCGTTTCTCCATATTCAATAGGGAGAAAGTCGAAAATTTTAAATGGAACCCCCATATTTTATTAGCCTACAAGAAAGGGAATTTAATTCTCTACAATTTATCTATAAACATTTCTATACCTATTTATTATAGTTTCTCTCATATTCGTAAATTTATCAAAACATGCAGGAAATGCAGAAAACCGTTTGTATTTTTATTATAGTTATAATTTAATAGTTATATTTGTACTATTAATAACTTAGATAATTTGTAGAGAATTAAATTATCTTTCTGATAGGCTAAAAAAATATGGGGCATTCCATTTAAAATATTCGACTTTCTCGCTATTGAATATGGAGAAACAGTCATTCAATTTTTGACCAGCCTATATAAGATACTCCGATACAACAAATGACAATCTATTTGACAACATCTGAAGAGTAATCATGCCAACGTAGATCCTTTTTGAATGAACGTTGGCGCAAATATGGAGTTTTAAAGAGCACGTTGAAATTTACCAAAAAAAGCTTAAAACCAAAATAACTCAAAAATGAAAAACGCTAGGTACCAATAACTTTTATCAAAGTCAACCAATTTTTTTACGTACAATTAAAAGGTGCAATAAAAACTATAGCATTCCATTTAAAATAACAAAGTTATGGTCTACTTCCGGTAGACCGGAATGTTCAATTAGAACTATTTTAAATCATGTGTAGGATCAATAAAAATAATAATAAGCGTTTTAAATGCATTAAAACCACCTTGATGGTTTTTTTCGTACTATTCAGAGGGAAATTAAGTTTTTATACGAGTACACAGCGCCACCTAACAAAAATATTGAAAAATGTTTCAAATAAAAATTGTTGCTAATTCAATTCTAATCAAATATTATTTGAAACTTTTTTTAATACAACCACTTATTATTGAGATAACCTCAAAAACACAATTTTTTATACAGGGGGTGTCCATTATATATGAAATATAGTATATATCTCGGTAAATGTTGACTTTATCAAAAAACATTCTATACAAAAGTTGTTTAATATTTTATTTGCCATAATAAGACTGCATTCAATTGTTTTTAATTCAGAAAACAGATGAGTAACGAATAAGTCTTAAATTTTTTTAAATGGCAATATACCCTTTCGTTAGGCTCATTTGATAGAGATTACTTTTCTCTTTACGATAACGTAAAATTTTTGGACCCTTATATCAGAAAATTTTTGAAAAAAATCTAAAAATTGTTTATTAATAAAAATTAATCAATAACATTAATCTAGAGATCGTCAAGTACCTCGAATTATCGAAAATTTTCTGATATAAGGGTACTAAAATTTTACGTCATCGTAAAGAGAAAAAAAATCTCCATCAAATGAGCCTAACGAAAGTGTACATTGCCATTTAAAAAACTTCAAGTGTATATTCCATACATAATGGGCACCCTGTATAAACGCCATCATCTACTGGAGGTATTAAATGTTCGATTAGAACTATTTTAACTCATGTGTTGAACAAATAAAAATAATACTAAGCGTTTTAAATGCATTAAAACCACCTTGATGGCTTTTTCGTACTATTCAGAGGGAAATTACGCTCTTATACGAGTACACAGCGCCACCTAACAAAAATATTGAAAAATGTTTCAAATAAAAATTGTTACTAATTCAATTCTATACAAATATTATACAAAAGTTTTTTTTATACAATCACTTATTATTGAGATAACCTCAAAAATATAATTTTTTATATAAGCGCCATCTACTGGAGGTATTAAATGTTTAATTAGAACTACTTTAAGTCATGTGTAGGATAAATAAAAATAATAATAAGTGATTAAACGCCTTAAAATAAAATTGATGGTTTTTCCGTACTGTTCAGAGGGAAATTAAAGTTTTTATACGAGTACACAGCGCCACC